AAAAAAAATCAATTTCACAAGATGGCCTTAAAGTAGCAATGTGTTTTAAACTGCTTGTTATATATGACAAGAATGGCTCATGGTATTATTTTTATTTGATGAAATAAATTTATTAATTTATCTTCATGATTGATTGTCTATGCTTTTTTTTTTCAATTATTACAATTTGATATTTCATTTAACAAAATAATCATTTACCATTAATTAGGCATAATGAACATTGGCTGTATATTCAAAACATTTTGGATAATTAATTCAAAAAAACATTTATAAAGTTACATATAATATCTAAGTTCTAAAACAACAATTGTTTATAAATCTATTGTTAATTGTTATTACACCTATTAACAATTAAATAAATATTTTATTATGCCTATTATTGTTTCACCCAAGTATTAACCTAGTATATCAATATGTGTAAGGGTCGGCCCATTGTTGATTTTGGCAGTCCAAAGGCGTAGAACAAAAAACAAGCTGATGGAGAAATATATGGAACAGAAAAACGTTGTAATCCGATAATCACGAATTCATGATTAAAATCCCTTCTTTCTTCACAGAATCACGCCTATCAAAGTATCAATCGATCGATCGGATTCTGTCAAGATTTTCGCTCTCCTCTCCTCTCCTCTTTATCCCAGTTCTCACTTCTCACCAAGGCCGAATTTGCTGTTTTCAGTTTCTTAATTCTCCTACTCGAGGTAACTTCTGTTTTTGCTTTAATTGAATGATAGATAAGTTTTATGTTTGGGAAACTCTGTCTTTTGATTAAAGAACATAAATCATGTTTTATTTTTCATGCGTAATTCTGATTTTGCTTTTAGTTCTTAAGGTGAACTTGAATTTCTAGTGGATCGGTGAAAAACAAAGCCATGACCTTTTTTTTTTGGTACAAAGTACAAACAACTATTGTTTCCAAATCTCATCTTATTACCTTATACATTAAAACAAATAAATCATGTCATAATAGCTTGCAAGAAATGAATGCTGCTCAATCAGAACCATCAATAACAAAATAAAATAAAACAATTTATTGTTTAGTGTGTTCACTATAGTTATAACATGACACTCATTATACTCTTTCCAATTTTGAAAATATCATCCTACTTATATCAAGTATGACATCTACTAATTTGGATTATTTTCTTTTCTATTACATCATTCTACATTCTTTTACTACAATATGACACCTAAAATAGCAATGTAATTTTTTTTTTTATGGATTTAGTTTAAATGGAGAAATATCAATGTAGTTTATATTCAAGATGTTTTATTTGACACCATTCAGTCATAAACACCTAGAATAACAACATAGTTTTTGCTCATAAATATGTTTTATTTGAAGTAGTTTGTTTTCTTTTCATGTTTTTTTGGACTTAACTCTAGTAAAGAAATACCAACATACTTTATACTCAACACCTTTTTGACACAATGTGGACAGAAACATATTTGTGTGTGTGTGTGTATATATATATATATATATATATATATATATATATATATATATAACCATGCTCATTACTTTTTTCATTTTTTATTAGTTTTGACTTAATAATTTTTTATTAGTTTTTGATTAAGACACCCATTAAGTCATTTTAAATGTGTACTAGATAATGACTTAATTAAACGGAAGATCGGAAATCGAAATCGGAACGACGATCGGTTGCGCGAATTGTATTATGAAAGAGTTACATTAAAATGATGCGGAAATTTTCGGGTTGTTACACCTAACAAGAAATCAGAAGATGGTTCCAACACATATGCAACAAACGAAGAAGTTGATGTGAAACTAATGTATCCCGTCCATGATCCAAACCAAAATTGGAAGAAGATGGTTCCTATACTAGGTATGAAGTTTTTTGACCCCGATGAACTTAAATGTTTATTGGGTAATTATGTTGTTAGACATGGATATAGTTTATGGTATGAAAAAAGTGATAAGAACAGGTTGTTAGCTAAATGTAGCAAAGGTACAACACATAAATGTCCATTTAGACTCTAGGCCACTTGGATGAAGGACGAACATTCTTTTCAAATTAAGTCACTGAAAGATGATCACAATTGCTCAAGTCATTCAAACTTGGAGCAATTGAGAATTATAGGTGGATTGGGAAGCATTTTGTTAATGAAATATTAAAAAGACCAAAAATGAGCTTAAGAAAAATGAAAGCTAAAATTTCCAAAAAATTTAATATTAATGTTAGTTTAACGCAGTGTAGAAATGCAAGAAGGTTTTCATTGATTAAGATTAAAGGTACTTTGGTTGAGCATTATGGAAGGTTGTAGCATTATGGTGAGGAGATTATGAGGTCTAACCTAGGGTTTATGGTAAGAATGGATGTGGACATCATGCCTGACTCAACTATATATTTTTCAAATACTATGTCTGCTTCAAAGGTGTTAGGGACGGTTGGATAGAGGGATGTAGAAAGGTGATTTGTGTAGATGGCTGCTAATTGAAAGGCTTGTGTAAGGGTGAGCTTCTTGTAGTAATGGGTAGAGATGCGAATAACAACATCTACCCTATCACGTGGGCTGTGGTAAATGTTGAGAATAAAGTTTATTGCAAGTGGTTTCTTGACATTCTCATGGATGACCTTGGAGGGGGAAATGGTAGTGGACTTACTATCATTTCAGATGAACATAAGGTATTAGATTGGTTTCTTTTTGCTTTATACTTTTTACTTTTTAATTGTTTAATATTAAGTTTTACATTCACCAACATGTTTTAATTTTGACAGGGATTGTTAGAAGTTGTGAAAGAAAGGATTCCAGAAGTTGAGCATAGGCAATGTGCTAGGCACATATATGCTAATTTTAAGAAGAAGTTTGATGGTGAACATTACAAAAAATTGTTTTGGGCTGCCGTAAATAGTACCACTATACCACAGTTTGAAGAAGCCATGGATGCAATTAAGAAATTAAACCCCAATACCTATGATCATCTTATTGAAAGGGAACCAAAATATTGGTCAAAGGCTTTCTTTGTAGAAGGGAGCTAGGAACTGTGATGCTATGGAAAATGGTGTCTCAGAAAGTTTTAATAATGCAATCAGGGATGCTAGAAGAAAGTCGATCATCACAATGTTGGAAGAAATAAGGGTTTAGGCCATGGAGAGGATGTATAATCAAAGGATCATGGCTGAAGAGTGGGATTTGGATATTTACCCAACAATTAGAAAGGAGTTAAAAGATAATAATATAACTCAAAGGTGAGTAACATAATGTTTTAAATTTACATTAGCTAATGATTGATTTGATTTGGGGTGTTAACTTACCTTTTTTTTTTTAGATTTTTGGGAGTTTATCCAAGTGGTAATCAACAATTTGAAGTAAGATTTGGTAATGATGCATTTGATTTAGATCTAATCAGAAGGATATGTGAATGTAGAAGTTGGCAGTTGAGAGGTATCCCATGCTTGCATGGCTTGGCTGCAATTGCATACCTGAATCATAATGTAGAGTCATATGTGGCACCTTGTTTTAGCAAACAAAGTTTCCTTTCAAGCTAATCTTACAATGTCCACCCTTTAAATGGTAGTCCAATGTGGCCGAAAACAATTTATCAAAAGCCTTTACCTCCAAAAAAAATAAAAATAAAATAAAATAAAAAAACTACCAGGCAAACCAAAGGTTAAACGAACAAAGGATAAGTCAGCATTTGAAGGTACTGGTAAAAAGACGCATACAATATCACATGCAAAAGGGTTGCAAAAGTGTAGTAATTGCAGAGGCATTGGATACAAGAAATCAAGTTGTCTAGGAAAAGGTAAAAATGAATTTATTTAGTGTAGTTCTATGTAATTGGAAACTAATACTAGTTTGTTTTCTCAGGAAGGGGAATTACAAGTGGAAATGGAAGTACAAGTGGAAGTGGAAGTGGACATGTACCCGTACAAGAACCTAGACAAGAACCCGTTCAAGAACATGTACAAGAACTTGTTGAAGCTCTTGTTGAAGCTCCTGTTCAAGATCCTGTTGAAGCTCCTGTTCAAGCTCCCAGAGCTTCAAGAATTAGAAAGATGCATGTGCGAAAGAGGAAAGTTTCAGAACGTATAACCGAGATTGGTCTAAGTAAGAAATTTATCCCCAAAGGAGGGATTGGTTGTAGTCAAAACAAGCCAGTAACTTTAGAATGATGTGCTTGTTTACTACTAGTATCTTTTGTCATCTAACACAAACTTTTAGTCTTTTGCATGGAATTGGTAACAAACCTTAAGTCTTTTGTCATGTAACTATACTACCTTACTACTGAATGATGTAATGCTATTATGATACTAGTTAAGGGGTATTTTGGTCATAACCTGCTTCAAGGTTATGTTGATTAATGTGTTAAGGGTATTTTGTAGTACAATTGTTTCTATTAATGTGCATCCTACTTTGAAATCTGTTTCTATGAAATTTGTTTTTACCAAAACTACAAATCCAAGGGTAAATTGGTCAAAATAATTTCTATTTTATCATCCTACTTTCAAATCTGTTTCTATGAAATTTGTTTTACCAAAACTACAAATCCAAGGGTAAATTGGTCAAAATAATTTCTATTTTATCATCCTACTTTGAAATCTGTTTCTATGAAATTTGTTTTACCAAAACTGCAAATCCAAGGGTAAATTGGTCAAAACAATTTCTATTTTATCATCCTACTTTGATTCTACTTTAGTATCCTACTTTGAAATCTGTTTCTGTGAAATTTGTTTCATATCAAAATAATATAACAAATCAGATCCCATTCATATCAAAATAAGTGTTACAAAGTACATTACATCTTAATACAACTTCAAAAGATTAGAAATACCATTTCACCATCTAAAAGATTACAACCAACACAACCTTAGCATTAATCTACTTCTTGATGATTACAATTACTACTTCAAAAGACTAAATAAACAGATCACAATGAAAACAACCAACAAACACTTAATAGTAAATTGTTTATTCTTTACTTCTTCCAGCTCTTTTCTAAGGCTCAAAATGTCACGTTGCATAACTTCAAGTGTTTCATTAGGTTCTACCCATTCCCAAAAACCACACCTTTCGTTAGCTTTCTATGTAAACCGATAACATAAACAAGAGGATCAAGGAGTGAAGTAACCAATACAACAACAAATATGAACCAAAATCTAAAAATAAAAAAAATGGCATATCAGGCATATCATAAACTTTCTTTCAGGGTTGTTTTCCGTCCTTGATGTGCGAATTTGAGATGGAAGGCCACAGTAGTAAGGGTGAATCCAAGCCTTAGAGGTGAGGGGGAGAATGTTGAAGAAGTCGTCGATATTTTAGGACACCAATATGTTCCTAAGGTAAAATCATAACAATTTGGTTAGATAAAGGATGAGTAGAGGGTGAATATGCCACGTAATATGCCAAATCAGCAAAAACCTACGATCGTCGATCATATTACCTTAATAAGTACTGGTCAAACAAGCTCAATTGGCAAATGTATACGAAAAATACATTGTTACCTTAATGTGTACAGACCCTAAACTACGTTACCTTTCTATGGCATTAACCCTTTTAGTTTTTTACTCTTTTGGCAATATATAATGTATATATACGTATCTGTTGAAGGCCAAGGTCATGTCCTTTCTTCAATATCTTACCAAAAAGTTTGGTTTTTTAAAAGCCACAAGACCATAGTTTCGTTAACCTCATTAATAAAATTGTCCAAAAACGTTCATTTCTTGATTTTGGGAGCAAGTTCTTACATAGCCAATTGTTACCGAAGTTGTAACATCCAAAAATCGAGACCGAAATTTTTTTGTTTTGAAATATATATTATTTATGAAAATAGTTAACGGAGAACAACATTTAATATCATTTCAAACATAAAGTCACAAATCACAAGTCTCAAACTACTTTAGCAAATGGTGTATTATCAGAGTACAATCCCAGGTTCCTCAATGCGGAAAATCATCTATGAAGGTGTGATGCACTGCTACCTTGCCGGCTCTTTCCCCTTAGATGAAGAGGTACCTGAAACCAAAACTAAAAACCGTAAGCACAAAGCTTAGTGAATTCCCCCATCATACCCATACCAAATAATGCATAATATTCAGTATCTTCCAACCGGTGACTGGGAACTAACCTCCCCTTCGGTATCTTTCAACAGTAACTGGGAGCTACCCTCCCATTCGGTATCTTTCAACCGATAACCAGGAGCTACCCTCCCATTCGGTATCTTTCAACCGGTAACCAGTAACTAACCTCCCCTTCGGTATCTTTCAACCGGTAGCCGAGAGCTACCCTCCCCTTCGGTATCTTTCAATCGATAACTGGGGAGTATTCCACCCCTACTACTGCTAATACATATCAAGCACAACAGGCATACCAAGCATAATAATCATATCAAGCACAGTAATCATATCACACATAAACCCTAGATGATTATCACAAAGACAACCATCTACGCAACGCCCTTACTGATGGGTCGGCATTGTGGCTGTAGACCCACCCCTACTAGGAGGAAACTTACCTCAAAGTCGCGTAGTGTCTGCACTGATCTCAGTATGAAAACCAACTCTCCTCGGATACTCGCTCCCTACACCACAACCTCAAATGAGTAGGAAATATGCCAAGACTTCTGGATCCACTTGGTCTCTCTTGTTCTCCCAAGCTTACTTCTCCTCTTCCAACTTCAAACATACAAAAAAAGGCACCAAAAACTTAAGAACACTCAAATAAGGCTTAGGATTTTCGAATTAGGGTTTCTCTGGGATGGAAGGAACGATGGGGGCTGTATTGGGCATTATAAGTTGTTTAAGTAGGGTGCAAACCCTCAAATTTTAGGGTTTCATCCGGACAACTCCTACTCGTCGAGTCGGTTACCCGACTCGTTGAGTAGGTCACTTAAATCCCTGAAGAATGTCGAGTCTACTCGACGAGTTAGGCCTCCAACTCGCCGAGTCTCAAAGTAAAACTTGAAGTTTCTTGAATTCAAATACGTACCAGGAATCGAGTGTTACAGAAGTTGTCGTTGACGGCAACAAATTTATATGAACAAATATGAGTACATGATTGATTCTTCAGTTTGTATTAAATACTTTTTCTTTTTCTTTTTTTGGATTGCTTAATGTTCATCATTTGCTTGGTTCATACGATTTCCAGGCTCGATACATTCAAGGTCGATCTGTTGATTTTAAAGACCCTATATGAAAAATTAAAATTAACCTCTAAATATTTTTTATATAATAAAAATCGTTGATAGTACGATAAGTCGATAATTGTTATAAAATTAATTAAAACAAGAATTGTCACTATTCCATAACTAATCTATGGCCAATACTAATGTACAAAAAATAATTTTGGACCCAAAAAGACATTGGTCATGTATGACTCCACACCTACACATGCCTACGGCCGAGGACGGATACATGTCTGGGGAAGGGGATTAAAAATTAATATTCTTGCAATTTTGAAGCAAAGGTATTATGGTCATTTTATAATTAAAATGTTTGTAAATAACAAAATATGTTTAAAAGTATTTTCTTTTCCATAAAGGATTTGGGCAAATATGATATTTTGGAAGCTTATGAAGGATATACATGATATTTATAATTAAACGGGACAAATATAATATTTTAATGTTTATTTAGAGCATATACAAAATTCTACCTAAAATTTCGTTGCCTTCATTTATAACAATGTCTTTTCAACATCTTTATCTTTTTTCTATAGTAATTGTACGAACTCCTTCGCCACAATGATTTCTAAAGTATAATGGACATTATTGTTAGCTATGGTTTTGCCTACGCACACCTTCATGATGATGTCGAGGTTCATTTGTACAACTACTTCTTTGGGCGGTGTTGTAGAGGAGTCATCAGAAAACATCATTCTCGGAAAAGATAAAATTAAAACTATAATGTTATAAGTAAGTTTTATCTTAATTGTTTTTGTATTCTATAATTTATAAATGCTCCTTATGAAAATTATTCAACATTTTGATATATTTGTTATTAGGAACTTCGGATGGTATGTTCTAACACTCTAACTTCACCTAATGCGATATATGTATAAGGGTCGGACTAATGTTCATTTTAGCACTCCAAGTAGGGGTTAGAAATGAGTTATATGGCCTTGAGACTAGATAAAGGCCGGGCTGGGCATAGCTAACAATCATCCAAAATCCTTTTCTTCATCATCATTCATTGCTCATCTTTCCCTCTTTTCGGATGAGTGGTTTTTTAATAATAAGTCAAAATTGTCTTCTTTAAGATCATTTTTTGCCTTATAGTTTCTTATTGATTGAAAAAATCACAAACTAAATCAATTTGAATTGTATCACTCATATATAAGCCGACCCTAATAAGCCGGTGGTAGTGCAAGGTGTGGCCGCACATGGCCACGAACAAAAATAGGGCCTTATTTTAACGTCTTAAGCCAATTTTATTTATTCTTTAATGAATAAATCAACAGAACATAATTCATAGTAGATATATGCCCACAAATTTTGTTGATATTTTATCAGAGTTGTTTTTTTTTCAATTTAACAAAGTGTAAAAATAACTACATATAAAACAAATTCATATGTCTTGTCTTTTACCCAATAAACAAACCTGGTGCATTGTTGAATTATATATATATATATATATATATATATATATATATATATATATATATATATACACACACACACACACGAAGAATCTAAGTATAAAAATAAAATATATAATATTAATATTGCAGGAAACTATAAAAAACGGGGGACAGTAAATCCAAAATCAAAAGCCTAAAAATTCAAGGGTTACCTTCACATTGGGAACAAGAAACCAACATGAATTAATTTGCCTATCCAATCAGATTACAAACACCATTTTTTGCTGCCGGCGCATTAGATTGGGTTGCTGACAACACAATGGCCCCCATAGCTTTTGTTGTCGCAATCGGTCTCCGTATACGTCTCTATGTTGCAATCGGTCTCGACACATTAGTGAGGAGACTCAATAGTGTCAGCCGCATGAGATGATCATGATGAACAGATAGTGCTCCGCTGGTGTGTAGATGACGAAGGCGCGCCCTAAGTATAGAGAGAAAAAGAGAGAGATCGAGAGAGAGAGAGAGAGAGGGTGAAGTATATGTGAGGTTATAGAATTAAAGAATTACTTAATTACTATCATACCATTTTGTCCATTTA